TATTAGGGGGGGGGGGGAGAACAACAATTCAAGATTGAGGAAAACCTGACTGATTTGTATTGGTCTGCTCCATCCCATCGGGTATAAATCCCCGAGAGTATTCTCCAAACGGAGCAGTGTAATGATTTGTCAATGTACTTGAGGATAGCGGGCTTTGACTAACGGCCGAGTACTGATCGAAGGACACATCATTCGAGTTGATTTGATTCATAGGCATATTCATCAAAGGAGTAGTCGTATTATTTGGAAATTGTGTCATTGAATAAGGGATTCCGGCCATGGATGCATCACACTTAGAGCTGGGAGCTGTTGATCCTGGTCGGTAGAACGATGGTTGCGATGAGCCGGGCGTGAAATCACAGCCCGTAGTATACATGTTTGTCCCAGGTAGTTGTTGACCATAAGCCATAGTTCTTTGAGATGGATGTGCAGCAGTCATGTAACCAACACTACTGGACAGCACGGTACTATTTGTAGTCTGTATAGGATTCCCGTTTGTAACAAGTTGCATATTCGAGTTCATCGAGGCGACTGAATTGGCCTGAAAAGGAGATACACCCACAGCGTAGTATGCAGTGTTAGACGGCGGATTTTGTGGGCTCAAATGTTGATCAAATCCGTTCGTGTTTGCATTCGGTCTGATTTCACTGTGAAACAAAGGGGATTGAACTCCAAGCAAAGAATATGCTTGCTTTCCAGTGTTCTGGCTATGAGAAGAATGACGTGAGGAGACATTCAGACTCGATGGCTTTTTCCCATTCATAGATATCTGATAGGCCTGCGGACTGATTTCTGTCGTTCGCAGAATACAACGTTCGTTGCTAGAGGACAGAGAGTTGCTAGATGAGCTCCGCCTTCGACATATGAAAATATAGGCCATTAAACCCAAGACGGCAAACAGAAGACAGAAAGGCACGAGGAAGTAAATGAGAATTCGTCGTCCTTTCAGAAAGTTTGGATCTGTTCGGGAAAAAAGAAACAGAATGATAATAATATCAATAATAACGATGTTACTACTACTACTTCTACTACTACCAATACTACTACTACTAATAATAATAATAGCAGTATTAAGGTGCGATTGATAACTACTCCGACCGCTGAATGCCACTTTTGATTGCTTTGTTTTCAACCAATTAGCATGCTACTCATGAGTAGTCAAGCGGTTTTCCTAGCGTTCATGCGTTGATCCAATGCTCGAAGCCACCCAGAAGGCGCTATAAAAGGCACAGTATTTGAACCCTATGATGTACATTAATAAACATTTTCTTGTTTCAATTAGATTAGCCGATGAACCTCGGCGTCTTTTCTGTGGTATTTCGGTTATGTCGTAAAATATTCCTGTCCATTTGTCTTTTCGTGCAGGGTTTTGTTTGCAAGACAAACATGAAGTGCGGCAAAGGATCATGCACAGTAAGAACGTAACTATACAGTCAGAACACACAATTGGCTTATTGTGCGCTTCATTAGATAAATAGCAGAAGCTTGAAAAAACTACAGTACGGATGTCCCACAAATCTACATCTCTTGTCGTAAAGAGGACTCGAACAACGCCATCCAGCAATATCGGAGTCACCTGATACGAATGGAGTGAGGGAGTACAGCTGCAAGCTCTGAAGCGTAAGGTTCGCCGTATTCGCAGTTGAAAAAGGCAGTGTGTGAGAACACAGCAATGGGTAAGTCGTTGAAGTGGGGATATTCGGGTGGGTAGTCAGTAACACTGCTTTGTTACCACGTTCCCACAATTGCATAGGACTTGATACGCAAATCCTTTCTGAACATCAGATCTACACTTCATTCATAATTGCACGACATATTCAATCAGATACTACGTTATGAATTTATCTACAACTGTCCAGTATGCATATGAAATTTTGACAGACATTCACTAACCTTGCAG